CCTCCTGTGCTTTTCTCCTTTCTTAAGTTTTTACCTTAGGTGATTAATTTTTAGTTCTAGGGGATATAGGCTGGCAAAATAAGCAAATGATTTGATATTGCCACCTTCTGTGCCCCCAAAGCTTATTGATAAGCATGCAAGGTCAGAATTCTTATATTAAAGGAATGACACAGTATCCCAACTATTTTTCCAACTAAAAGAATAGGATGCCAAATGACAAGTAGGAAAATAAATTTATATAAGATTGGTACTTTCAAATTTGCCTGCCCACCACAGAAGCATAGGCTGCAGAAAAATGGAAAGGAAAAAAAAATAATAATATATTTGCTTTCTTAGATAGGGGAAAGCAAGTAAACAAAAATGATCACTTAATACAAGAAATAATCTAAAATTTAAATTGTCAGTTTGCGTAACTAATGTCTGAAGGAGAGAAGGAGGGCGTGGCTTGCGTGCCTCTAACGCAAACACTCATGCTCTCTAGGAAATATTTACTGTGCTTCCTAATCATAGCATCATCACTGCAATGTATTCCACATTAAAGAACTACTCAAGTTTCAGTACTCCAGGCATTTACTTGCCAGAGTTGGTGATAAATTAAACCTGGCTCCAGGTCAAGAGTACAGACAGAACCAGTCTGGCAGGGTGGAATGTGGGAAGACCTTGGGAACTCTCCATTTAGCATTAGTCACCTTAATCTGACTTTGATGGCTACACCTTTGCAGGGACTTAGTTTTTCCCAGACTGTGAGTGGAACAAGGCCACTGTGCTGTTTGTATAAATGATGGCCAGCCTGAAACAAATACCTGCCAAGCCCTACCCATGTTATCTGTTCCTGACCCCAAAGCCCTTGATGTATACACGCGAGGAGGTGCACATCTTCTGTGGAAAATGAGAGGGCTCCTGCATCTAGTAAGAAATGTCCTCCAGGGAAGATTCAATGCTTTGGTTGGCATGAATGATAACTTGGTCATGCTTCGCTTGAAGCTAAGAATAACTTCTACATTTTCAACTTATTAATACATAGCAGTAATGACAATAAATGATGAATTCTTATGAAAAGGACACTAGTTCTTCATGTGGAAAAAATTATGATTAAAAATTGGAAGTTCATAAGACTTTAGATGCACTGGATTATTTTCTTATTTAAAAATGACATAGGGTATTTGTCATTATTTTCAAAATACATTTCATCACAGAAATGTTGACACATGAATGGGCTGATAAATCAAATTACCTGACTGTCCCATAGTCATTTTTTATCAGTTGTTTGTTTTTTAAAGGTTGAAATGAGCACAGGGCTGGCTATATACTTGCAGAGCCTTGAGCTAAATACAAATGGAAAACCCTTATTGAAAAATTGTTAAGAATTTTAGGAGGAGTATATAGGTCAGTAGGGGGTCATGTACTTAGCACAGAGCCCTGAATTCAAACCCCAGCAACCCCCCCCACCACCACCACCAAATGATTTTCAAAATGTTAGGAGCAGAGCACTAACCCTGTACCTGCTATGAAGCTTGTCCCATTGGGCAGGTATAGGAGGAGCAGAGATTCAGTCATTAGGAGTCAACTGACAGGTAAAGGATGGAGTAGAAAAAGCATTCCAGACTGAGGGCACTGCTAAGGCAAGGCAGCCAGGGACAGCATGCGTCAGGCAGCTCTGCAGATTGCTTTTATTACAGCACAGCAAAGTGGCGAAGCCTGAGATCAAAGATAAGAGGGGCCCGACACAGTAGGCCTCCATAGGTTAGGCTTTACTTGAAGAAGTCATTAAAGGGTCTGAGAAAAGACATTTGATTGCATAGGCAGGTCGGCAGTTTGGGGAAGGATTTAAAGGGTGCAGACCGGAGAGTAAGGAGACCAGGTGGGAGAAGGTTGGGAGAGATGATAGAGTGTATAGACTCGGGGGGGGCGGTCTGAGATGGGAGGGGACTGATTTGAGATTGAGAAGGTAAAATTAATTATGGGAAATGAAGACGAGGGAGCAATCACGGGGATGTGCTGAGAGCCACCAATGTCATCACAGACAGTACTGGCATAGAGGAGTTAGAGGAAAAGGAGATGATGAGTTGTGAAAACAGTGCACTTAACACAGTTTGCATGATTTATTTTTTGTCTACAAAAATTAAAGGAGTGCCTCAGTTAAATTCAGGGTTTAAAATAAAAGTGGGAAAGGTTTTAGGAGAGGTCATCTCTAATTCATCACAGCACCCTTGTTCATATGGCTGAGACACATCTGCAACACCCTTTTCAATCCATTGGTCCATCCTTCCATGACAGCCGTGTATATGTGAACATAGCACCATGGCCAGTATCAGCCAATGGAGAGTACGTGCACTGGACACCCACATATCTGCCCAACATAAAGCTTGAGAGCCTTTCTTTGAAAGATACAAGTCTTGCATATACCATTCACAGGTATCTTCAAAGTAAATTATACCTTGCCAAATCTGAATAAACAAGACCGCACATATTTTGAGTATCAGAGTCATTGGAAAGTCTTCACTTATCCCCAAGAGACTCTTAACTTAGTTGAATGTCAAATTAGTGCAGATCTTTGATCAGTGGTGATCAACAGAATTCATTTAACATGTGTTAATTGCCCACTGTGTTATGGACCAGGATTTCTTAGTTTAACTCCAATGAGACAGTGGAAAATTGCAGGAGTAGGGGAAATCTGATGGGTTAATCAAGATGATTTGGATTGTATCAAGTAAAAAAAATCCATTTAATTCAGCCTAGCCCAATGTCTTTCACAGAAACCGCCTATCACATGACACCAGTGAACAACCCTGAAATTAAAATATTTCAATCCTCAAAACACTTATTTTTCAAATAATAAACAGAAACTAAAAATCACACAGCCCCAAAGTTGATAAGGGAGGTCTAAAATCAGATCTTCCCTTTGTGGCTTCTAAGTCCCATTCACAGGATCTCAAAGGGAACAATAATTACTAAAGATCAAGGCTGAATTTGGGCTACACATTCACTTTTCAACAGAGTTACTCAACAATATGTGGGCCAGCTAAAGCTTTCTGGGGTGCTCCACATCAAGGCTGACATTTCACCCTTCCCTTCAAAATCTCCCACCACTGACCTTTGCTTTTCTATCTTCTACTAAACATTACTCCATTTATTCTCTTGGAACCATGAGAATAGAATAATTACGGCCTTTAGGCCTTTGTTTTGATGCTCAGAAATCTCAGAGATCACAGGACACAAGAAGCAGGTTCTCAAGTTAGAGATTCAAAGGTAGCACATTTCTCAAAGTGGGCACTGGGAATCAACGGTGGGTACCAGATCAACAACTGTAGGTAGCAAGTCTTTGGAGGAGACGTTGAAAAAAACTGATCCTAAAATGTATATGAAAATATAAAGAACCCAGGAAAGCCAAAGGAATCTTGAAAAAAAGAATGAAGAGAAAGCCTAAACTTCATTATTTCAAAATTTACTATAAAATTACCTTAATTAAAATAGTATGGAATCAGCATAAGGGAAGACAAATAAATCAACAGAATTGTGACCCTAGAAGTTACCTTAACATTTATAGACCTTGATAAAGGAGCATAAGTGATGCAACAGGGTATAGTAAAATGTTTTCAACACATTATAATGGGACAACTGGTTAACTGCATGCACAAAGGGAGATGGGAAATATCACACCATATTAAAGAAATGAACTAAAAACGAAGCATGGACCAAATGCTTCAGTAAGAAAACATGGAAGATACTCGTAATTTTTGACTAGAGAGTTCTTAAGCACTACACCAAAAGCATGATTCATGAAAAAATTTTGAAGAAAATGGACTTCATCAGAACCAAAAGTTTTGTGCCTTTTGTGTTTCAAAAAACATCCATTAAAAATAAAAAGTGAGCTATCATCCGGAGAAAATATACACAAATATTTCTGGTAAAAACATATTTGTATCCAGGATATGTAAGACCTCTTCAAGTGAATAATAAGACAACTCAATTCAAAATGAGCAACAGTTGAAAAGATAGTTCACCAAAGAAGAAATTTGCATGGCTAAAAGCACATGAGAAGACATTCAACATCATTAGTCATAAGAGAAATGCTAATTTAAGATGAGATGCCACTTCATGCCCACTATAGTAGACTCAAATAGACAAAACATTATTGGTAAGCATAGGGAAAACTGGAATGTTCATACACTGCTGGTGGGAATGTAAGACAGTGTAGTCACAGCTTGATCATTTCTTTAAAAATTAAACACAAATTTATCCCATGACCATGCAATTCCTCTCTTAATTATTTACCTGAGAAATGAAGGATATATATATATATATATATATATATATGCACACTGTGACTACATGTATATACATGTGTATATATACATATTCAAAAAATTATTCATGATATCTAAAAAGTGAAAACAATTTATACTTCTATCAACTGGTAAATGGATAAACAAAATGTGGGATAGCCATACAGTGAAATACTATTTACCATTTAGAAGCAATAAACTACTGACATATGCTACAGCATAGATGAGCACAAAAAATAACAGGATAAGTGAAAACAGACAAATGCAAAAGATTAAATGCAATATGATCTCATTTATATGAAATGCTCAGAAAACACAAATCTATAGAGATCAGTGATTGCCTAAGGTTGAAGGGATATTTTTAGGCAATAGAACTAAACTAAATTTAGATTGTATGGTGTTTCCAAAATCCTATACACTTACTAAAAATCACTTGAAGCACAAGAATTTTGTGGTACACAATTATATCTCAATAAAGCTGTTAAGAATCAAAAACTTATTTCCTCACATAACGAGAGAAAATGTGTAGGCCACCAAGTCCAGGCTTGGTACGATGGAGTCTTTTGGTAGTTATTAGAGACCGAGCATTTCTGTCTTTGCCTCAGCTGCCTTAGTGTGTGTTTTTGCTCTGATGGCTACATCTCAATTTCCTTCCCACTAGATCCTTCTTAGCTAACAGAGGAGAAAGAGTAAAGAGCAAAAAAGACACTGACCATTGCTTCTTGGCCTTCTGGATTAGAGTAAGGGCAGTATCTGTTTTTATCAGATTAATATTTAGTATGTCCTCTACCTGAGGACAATATACTAAATGGATTTTTGGAGCAGGGAGGTGGAGTACGAGTTGCTTCATCCACCTCACACACCGACCTAATCTTTCAGGACCTCCAGAAATGGTGTATCTGCTTGGTAGAATATAAACAATAATAATTCACCTATTAATCTGGTGATGTTGTGGATATTTCTATGAAGACCCATCCAATGACTCTTACATGATCATTCTTAACTGCAAGGGAGTCTGGGAAATGTAGGGATGTAGTTCTGCCTCTAATGCAATTAGGGGTTCATTAGTAAGACTGAAGGGAATCGTGGATATTGGGTAAAACAGCTCACAGTCTCTGGAAGAATATTTCCTTTGTTAATGTAAACACAACAGAAACAGCATTATTTGTGTCATACCTCCCATACTGGCTATAAGGCAATGGACCAGAAAATGCTTATTATTAGTGGTTTCTTATTAAAATTAAAAAAGTGTTTAGTAAAAACATAAGAGCTTGAAAGTGGGAGAAATGTTCATCGTTATTCATATTTTTATTTCTAGGACAAAAATTTGCCAGGTGTGGCGGCACACACCTGTAATTCCAGTACTCAGAAGACTGAGTCAGGAGGATCACTGAGTGTTCGAGGACAGCCTGGGCTATATAGCGAGATCTTGTCTCAAAAACAACAACAACAACAACAACAAAAAACAGACAAAAGACCCAAACCTGAGGCCTAGCCAATTTGGTATAGTAGAAAGAGCAGAATTCTTGAATGTGAAATGTCTGGCTATTTCTAAACTTGGCTATACACTTTAATAACTGTATGCCTTGGGTAAAATTCATAATTTAGCTAAGCCTCAAAATCCTCATCTGTGCAAAGAGAATAATACCTGCCTCACGGGCTGTTCAGTGACTTAATAAGACAGCAGGTGTGAAGCACTTGCCTGTGTACTGGTGACAGCACTTTTTCACAATCCAAACTGCACACTTGCATGCACACAACAGGGCTTCACATACCAGCAATAAAGAATGATTTTTGTTTTGTTTTTTGGCCAAAATTAAACAGCTGGCTAGCTGTAGTTTCCCCACATTTCCCAGGCTGATTATTCTTCTCAAGAGAATTCCTAATTAGAGATTATCTCACTCAACACACACGCTAATCTGAGGAAAGGGAGAACAAAACAAGAAAAAGAAGCAAAGAAAACATAAAGATAAAGAGAAACCTAAAAATACATTGTACTTTTGTATCTAAAGCATTATAATCTTCCTAACAGTTGATTCTTTTACAAAATCAGAGAGAGCACTTAGAAAACCATGCCAGCCCAATTTATGCACTCAGCACACTGCAGAAGGCGAGGGCTGTGTCAACTGTTTGTGAAAGCAGGTGTCTGGGTGGTCAGCTGGCAGGAATGCCAGGATGCGCACACTGGGCCACTCTTTATACATCAGTTCGACAAGCCGACATAGGATCTCTCCTATCATTTTCTTCCAGATGCCCAAATGTTGCCTAAAATAGCATTCAAACTGACCAGTTGTGGTGGATTTCAGCTTTTAAGTGGTTTGCCACTATGGAGGATTCTTAAAAGATCTTGGTTAGCACTGAATGAATAAAATTCATATTTTTGCAAGAAAGCTATGCATCTCATAGAAGGACTCCAAAGCAAAATTGTGAAATTTGCCAACTTAAAAGTAGAGCAAATATTTGCTATCTCTCTTCACTGTCCATAAAATCCAAATTGTAACGGTGGCGATCTCAGTAGTAAACAGCATTTGGTTTATCTAAGTAAAAGAAAAGAGCAGGCTGGGGAAATGAACACAGCACTGAGGACACAATTTGTCTTTTCCAGCCATTCTGTATCAGGGACTTAATTTTCTTCCATCTCACGACCTGTCTGATCACTGTGCAACTTACTGGTCGGTTTTCTCCTCTCTGTAAAAGCGGATGGAAGGATGGCGAGAGGTGCCATGCAGGGAGGGCCTCAGTAGGGAGCAGCACAGCTGTCTTCAGCTGCAGCAGCAACAGCTCAGCCTGCCAAACGCAGCAGCTGTCGGGACCTGTACAGCTGCGGCTGCCATTCTTCCCCAGGGCTCCTTCAGACCCCAGATTGAGAAATCCTGTTTGTCCTTGCATGTCCTCCATAACTAATGGCAGTTAATTTCTACCCCGACTTTGTGCACATTTTCTCCTAGCCTGAGACCTGCCTTCCTTCACACTTGAATTAGAAGTCAATTAAAAGCAAGACCAAACAAGAACATATTCTCTTCTCTTGATGGTCACCTTGCACGATAATTATCGCATTCCTACCTTTCTTCTTTTCTTTCTTCACTTCCCATAACCCAAACCCTGGAGCACAGTTAAAGTGCTTTCACTCACATGTGCAGACTAAGTAAGAACTGTATTCAAAAAGTAAAGCTTGGGGCTGGGGATTTAACTCAGCAGCATAAGCACCTGCCTTGCAAGCAGGCAGTCGTGAGTTCGATCCCTGGTACGATAAAAAAACGAAAAAGACAAAAAAAAAGTAAAGCTCACAGTGGCGATGCTTGCTGAAATGATTATAAGAAAATTCTCTGCACAGTGAGTGCTTTCTCTGCGATCCGACCATGTCATGGCTATAACACAGGAGAAAAATGTTTACATCTATATTTTGGGTTGCACGAATACTTCCATATTTGTAGAATATGTAATCGCAACACACAATTGATTGCTTAGTTTTCTTATGGTGAGTAAATCTGATTTTTATAAGCAAAAGCAAATGGTGGGGGTAGAAGGAATGAGCAACAGCTGGTTCTTTACTGACTCACGTCGGTATTCACTAAGCCTGCAGATGCCCAGTGTGGGGCACTGAGTATTCTGCACACAGGGCTTCCCCTCATTTGGAGAGGAGATGCACTTTGGATGATGATATATGGGTGTGAAACAAGGGTTACTCTTAGGATCCGGTAGGTCAGAGGAGTCCTATACACTAGGTTTAGAAGGCTCTTTGGCAGGCTTCATATTAAACTCATTACGCATTGCAATGTTTCTGAAAGTTTTATTTTGTTCACAACCCCCTTGCATATTAGAAGATGGCATGGCTACTGTAACTCTTAAGTGAGAGGCAGTAATTCTGTCTCTGGGTTTTAGATCCAATGCTTTACTCAAGACACTAGAGGTCAGCAGCCCTCCAAAAGTTGTGAATCAGGCCAAGATGTTCACATCTTGGGATGCAGCTGGGGCTGATTCCCAGAACAGGGAATCTAACTGGTACTGTATTTGCTTTCCTGGTCCTACTTTTCCTTTAGTCTCACTTTAACCTCTATTTGGGCATCCTCAGCTCCTCCTGATAGCCCAGGAGCTTGGGGAAGCTGATCTGGAAGAAGGACTTGTGGAGCAGCCCAACTTAATTTTCATTATTCCACCCATGGCTCCACACATTGATTTAAGGATAAAGATGTGGCCCTATTTGGGCAGATAAAACTGAAGCAAAATTTGCTAAGGATGACTGGCTTTTCTGAGAGAGCTTCTGGAAATGCCTATTTATCTCTCCCTGAATGAGGATGAAGGAGCTCAAACCTCTGGATGCGCTTTATCTGGCAACCACCAAGCATTGCAGGATAGGGGAGAGGAGGGCTATAAAATGAAGCTGACTGCAAAAATGGCAGAGAGGTTTGAAAAACGCAATAACAAGTTTTCTAATGAAGTTTTATTGACTCGAAGAAGCAAACAAATTCTGAACCTGCTTCCCGCTCTCCCAGGAGATGCTGTGGATTGAACTTAGGGCCTTGCACATGCTGAGCACAAACTTTACTATTCCCTTGAAGCTTTTGCTAACCAGATTCCACACTGCAAAAGCCGACGGATCTCATTTCTGCAAAGCCAGGTTGAGTCTGTTTTTCTTACTCGTGTCTGGAAGCATCCTAAGTGACACACTGAGGGGACAAAGAAGGAGCTACAATCAAGTTTTGCCTGAGAAATACAAGCAATCTACAAGCTACTACTTACTAAGCTTCATGCCAGCTTACTCTGTGCTGCAGACACCAAAGGTCCTCAGCAAATAATTAAGGGACTTATAGATCCAGAACATTTGATTGAGAAGAATGGGATGGAGAAGATATTGTATTTTCAAGGCCTCTCTCTTTTTATATTGGGCAATGAAGTCCTTCCTAATAAATTGGTTCCATTTTATTCCCCTAAACTCAGTTGTGGAGATATTTTTGAAATATATTGATTGTATATTGATTGAAATCTATTTGAAATGTATTGATTCATTTAAAAATGAATGATTAGATTCTCCTGTATTGCAGGGACCAGCACCAGGCACCAGCCTTTGAAAAACAACAAATAAGGAGAGAATAGGCCTCCTGCTCCAGCTCTTTGGTACCAACCTCCTTCGACTGCTTAGTGTTAAGCAGTCTCTAAGCTCTCCTAATGCTAAACAGCAGTTTCCTTTGGTTCACTAGAATGACATGTTACCTGTAATCAAGTAAAACAGCAATGAGACAGTTAAAGGAACCTGGATATAACTGACCCTCCCTAACAGTGAGTTCTGCATTCATAGACTCAACCGACTGTAGACCAAAAACATCTGAAATGAAATCACACCAGTATTGAACATCTACAGAATGTTTCTTGTCATTATTCCCTAAGGAATATAGTATAACAACTACTTTCATAGCATTTGCATTGTATTAGTAATTAAGAAACTAAGAGATGATTTAAGGGATTTGGGACTATATAAACAATAAAGTATGTGTGATGATGTGGGTAAGTTATACGCACATACTACATCCTGAGCACTTGTGGATCTTGAAATCTGCTGGGAGTCTTGGAACCAGTCCTCCAAGGGTCACAGAGGATGATACAACTCTAGGTGTGGCAGTAAAAATTTACTCCACCTCTCTATTTTCCCTAGATCAATATTCAAAAAGAAATACAAAAAGGGTCCTTGTACTTTCTTATATATTTTTTTAAATGTGAGACCGTACTGATAAAGAAATGGATTTTGGAGTTCATCAGACCTGAGTGCAAACATGGGCACCTCATTTTACTAGTCCTGTGATTTTATCTCTCATCTTCATCTTTAAAACAGGAGAGGATGTAACCTACGTTTTAGGTCGCTCACAAGATTAGGTGTAAGAACATGTGTAATGGTTTGGCATTAAAAAA